TTCACCACTAGTAAAGAGCCATATTTCCTTATATCTCTCTCTTGATTGGCAATGTCAGCTCTCTTAACTTCCATTGGCTTTGCACGATTGCTTTCAGATATTGGAACATCAACCTATGGAAGGATCTCTTTACAAAGCTGCTTAATGTTAGCCCAGGCAACAATGATGCAGAGTTGTTGCGTAGCTTGAGGAAGTCATTCCTAGACTACATGCGCGACAACCCCCCGCTTGTAAACAAACTAAAGGACTTGCTAGTGAAACAACGGGCTTCCTTGTGTTCTGCTTAATGCACCTCTGATCATTCCTGCAGAAATTTCGTAACAACAGTCTCGTGATCCTGGAATGCATATCAAAATTGCAGCCAAAAACAGCTTAAAATGGTGAAATCTCTCTTGATTTCACTGAGAGAGTATATGTGTACAGCCATGAATTCTACTGTCAGTTTCTTGTTGTATTACTGCATTTTGCTAGTATACTGGTACAATTTACAGCCTGTTGGATATTCCATTGTAAAAGAACTTGATGTAGAAGTTCAATGATGTATGAACGGCACGCATGTTAAGCTACCCACCTGAAATTTATAAGTCTCAACGGCTGCTCTGTCCTTATGATTTTCAAGATTATTGCAAGAAGTAGATCCAAACTATGGGCAGCCAGGAGAGCTCTCATTAACAGATAAGACTTATAAGCAAAAAACTGTTTATTACGGCTTTCACCTAGGGGGTTGCTTCTCAATCCCCAAAGGCGAGCCTCCAACTTCCATGTCTAATAAAATTACTAATGAGACCCAATCTTCAGTGGACTCGACTCATTTCTTACTAGTCAGCTCGGTGGTGGTACGCACAATTCAAACCGCAAAGCAAGGTCAAATCTGTCATTACTGAGAAGAAGAAAAACCCTAAAACCAAAGCACGGTGTACCCTGACATATAAATAAGCTCGTCATTTTCATTTCTCCTTGCGGTAAGGAAGTAGAATTTGAGCTTTCTCGGCGACCTTCCAGGTTACTTTCCTCATTTCTCCATTCCTCAATTCATCGTATTACTGCCGTAGCATTTCTGCTTCTTTTTCTTGGTCACTCCCTCTGCCTTTTGATTTCATGTTAGTTTTTTATTTTAGCTGTTTGGTTGCCTAGAAAATGACGGAGAAACAAAAACACTCGAATTGAACTCTTGAGCTTCTTTTACTTTCTAATTTCTTGTTTTGGTTAATTTGGTTAATGATCTTTGTGGCAAGAGGTTTCAATTGGATTTGTTGTGTTGTTATTTCCATCATTTCATCAGTAGCCGCCACAAACTGTGTGTAACTGTGAATCGAGAATTAGATATGCTGCGGTTTAGTCTTAAGTAAGGATGATTGGAATGTTACTGTAGTAGTTGTCGTGACATGAAGATCTCTTATATTGTTTAGAATTGCTGTATCTATTTTACCAGTTCCTTTTTGCTATATGGGAGTGCGAATTTTTTAAGAAATATTAAAAATTGCTTTAGGAAATTTAGAACTAATGCCCCACGGTGGTGGTTTTTCTTCCTCTGGGAGAGACAATGATCCAGTAGTCATATAGTGTGGGGTTTTTCGTTCCTTTCAGGTTGTATTGCCTTTTTCGAACTTTCCGTTGATTCTGACTAATATCACTGAAACTTTGTTAAAAGAGAAAAAAATTGTATATAAAATCATTTCATCATTTCAACTTTTCAGCCAGTTAGTTTCAAATGTTCGCTTGTTCTATCCTTCCTTTAAAGGTTTGAGTGTGCATCTCTTATTTAGAGCCTGCTCTGGCCTTTCTTTGTTTGTTTTACTGTCAATTATTTTCTACGTTGTTTTTATTAACTTACAGGTCACCATCTGAAGTTGTAAACATGGCAGATGGATCACAGCGTCCATCAGTATTTCAAAAGATACATGGGCAGTCCTACTTCATTTCCAGGCTATCTCCTAACTTGCATGCCAAGAATTACAATGTGACTGGAGCATATGCCAATGGAGGAATTCATGTTGCTTTACAGCCATCATGCCAAGACACTGGGTTGGCACATTGGTCCCCTGTTTCTCCAATATTTGTACAAGCTCCAGCAGAGAAGGGTTTTTCTGGTTTTATGGTGGATTTCCTCATGGGAGGAGTTTCTGCAGCTGTCTCCAAGACAGCCGCTGCTCCAATCGAGCGGGTTAAACTTCTAATCCAAAATCAGGATGAAATGATCAAAGCTGGTCGATTGTCTGAACCATACAAGGGAATTACTGACTGCTTTGCCAGGACTATTAAGGATGAAGGTGTCCTTTCTCTTTGGAGAGGCAACACTGCTAATGTTATCAGATACTTCCCCACCCAGGTTACTTTTCTTTCACTTGATTTTTTAGCACTTTGTCATCCTTTTCTGTCTTCCCTCTTAAGGTGCTTTTGTTTGCAAAGTTAGTTTGTCTGTTATATCCCTGGGGTGGCTTCCACTGTCCCAGCATACCTTTTCTTGGGAAAGAAGCAGAAAACAAAAACCCACAAAATTAGGCTTTTGATGCGTTATGTGGGATCTAGTATTGTCAGTTTGATTGAAGAATTTGCTTATCCTTTTCTTGTAGTTCTCCTTCCTCACTTTCTAAATATTTTGGCTTAAAGCTTTGTGTTTGTGCCAGGCGCTGAACTTTGCCTTCAAGGATTACTTCAAGAGGATGTTCAACTTCAAGAAGGACAGAGATGGCTACTGGAAATGGTTTGCAGGGAACTTGGCATCTGGTGGAGCTGCTGGTGCTTCATCTCTTCTTTTTGTTTACTCTTTGGATTATGGCCGTACGCGTTTGGCTAATGATGCTAAGGCTGCTAAAAAGGGTGGCGAGAGGCAGTTTACTGGTTTAGTAGATGTCTACAAGAAGACCATCAAATCTGATGGCCTTGCTGGGCTTTATCGTGGATTCAACATCTCGTGTGTTGGAATTATTGTTTATCGTGGACTCTATTTTGGAATGTATGATTCTCTGAAGCCAGTTGTTTTGGTTGGTGGGTTGCAGGTATGTGAGCTATAATGAATCTTCTGGTTTCTGCCCATTAAAACTATCTCTAGCTCAGTGGCATTGGCTAGCAAGTTTAATATTGACTTGAGCCTGATATCTCTATTTGTTTGTTTGGTATTGACAGGATAGTTTCTTGGCAAGTTTCTTGCTGGGTTGGGGTATCACGATAGGTGCTGGACTGGCATCTTATCCAATTGATACGGTGCGTAGAAGAATGATGATGACATCTGGAGAAGCAGTCAAATACAAGAGCTCAATGCATGCTTTCTCTCAGATCATCAAGAATGAAGGTACTAAATCACTGTTCAAGGGTGCTGGTGCAAACATTCTGCGTGCTGTTGCAGGTGCTGGTGTGCTTGCTGGTTATGACAAGCTGCAAGTCATTGTCCTCGGCAAGAAATATGGATCCGGTGGCGGCGGCTAATGTTATTACATCACAGGGGGAGGTGATACTGGCATCTTGAAGTTCGATTTAAGGATTTCAAGTTGGAATAATTGCGGATGGACATAGTGCTTTTGAAAGTTCCCAGTATTTAGGGATTAAATATGAAAAAATTGTTGGTGACGAAAAAAATCCTACTTGAATTTTGAGTGTTACGTGTTTTTAGATTTGGTTGTTCATTTTGGTGAGAATAATTAGACAATGCTCTGTTTGCTCTGTAGTATATTACTCGATTTTTCTTGTCCATGTAAGTGTTTTGCATTTTACCTGGTCGGTTTTTGTCATCTGAATGAATTGTAGGAGTAGTGTATCACAAACTGCTCCTAATTTCCATGGTGTTACACTTGCCTGTAAACTTGCAAGATCGTAGAAGATAAAGCTGATTTCGATTCTGGATCAAAGTTGGGCATCCTGTCTGAATGTTTACTTGAGATTTTGGCGGCAGAATTCTATTCCATGTCCAAAATTTGTTTCTTATTTCTCTCTCTTCGGTTAAAAATTAGGTCGAAGCCTTACATTAAGGTTAGCCATACTGTAGGATTTGCCCGGTGTAAAGAAAAACATTCTACTTACTACGTCTTTCTTCTTTGTCCAAGGAAAACGGATCACTTAATGTGGATTTTATTTATTGCAATTCATAAATTTAAAATGAAAAAAATGCTAATACGTCCTTTTTATTTTTTCTTTTATTTAAGCTTTATGAAAAGTAACACTTGTAATAAAAAAATTCATCGTTATCTGTTTTCTTACGACACTCCCTTTGGTGGACTGTATAGCACGCAAACAAAACAATGATGAAGGAGAATATCGTTGGTAGTTAAGATTAAAAGATTTAAACGATTCTTTGATTGTTGACATAATATTCAAAACCTAAACCTGAACCTACTCCATTCCACCATCCGACCGTCGCTGATTGTGAATCCGCCCTTAACCACTCTCAGATTCAGGATTATACAGCCAATGTGTTCCAGCCCAAGCCTATGCTGTAGTACTCTGATATAACTTGTAGACCTTTGACTGACGCAAAACATGTTTCATCCCTTCAGTTCTAAGGAATCTTTCATGCTTTTTCCTCCGGTGGTCCGAAGCTGTCTTTCTCCTGCTCCACTTGGAAGGAGATAAGTCCTTATCCTGCGCGTCGTCTTCCCTTTCCCAATTTCCACAGTACCAGGGTCTACAACTAATTTCAGATGTAACTTGTTCAAATGGATCCATTCAGTTACAAACCATATCTATCGGAATCAATTCATTTTTCTATTTTGTTTGGCATTACAACCAGTCTTACCCGACAAATCCAACTCATCCTCAAGTTATCCAATAGAAGCATGAAACTCAGTGAAGCAAAATAGTACTTCTTTGGGTCCTAATGTAATGGTTAACTGTCACTATAGAGAGAATTGCTTTGGATGTCATCTTCTAGCAAAGAAATGAATCTTTCTGTTGGACATGAACAGCATGATTAAACACAAGACTGAAGCACTCTTCTTGAAAAGGAAAGAGTTTCCCTACATAAAAATTCAAGCCAACTCTCAACAATGCGTCAATCCACCAAAACAATGGCTTCAACTTTGAGTTCTTCATTCATTTCCCCTGCCTTGATCATCTTGCTAGTCTACCTATCTTCCTCATCCAACAATCTGGCAGCAAAACACACCTACTCTGCCTCTCATCACCACCGCCACCACAACCGTCCCCCGTTTCAGAACCCAAAACTCCAGCAAGCTTATAATGCCCTTCAGGCTTGGAAACGAGTCATCTACTCAGACCCCTATAATTTCACCTCTAACTGGGTTGGTCATGAGGTATGCAACTATACAGGCGTGTTTTGTGCACCTCCCCCGAATGACAAAAAAATCAGAGTAGTTGCTGGCATTGATCTTAACGGTGCTGATATAGCCGGCTTTCTCCCTGATGAATTAGGCCTGCTCTCAGACCTTGCACTCATCCATCTCAATAGCAATCGCTTCTGTGGCATCCTGCCACAAACTTTAGCCAACCTCTCACAACTCTTTGAGCTTGATCTTAGTAACAATAGGTTTGTAGGGCCTTTTCCATACGTTGTTCTGTCTCTTCCTTCTTTGCAATATCTTGACATTCGATATAATGAGTTTGAAGGGCCATTGCCTCCTCAACTTTTCAGTAAAAATCTCGATGCCATATTTGTTAATAACAACCGATTCTCTAATGTGATACCATCCAATTTCGTTGGAAGTTCAGCTTCTGTTGTGGTATTTGCCAACAACAAACTTGGAGGCTGCCTGCCACCAAGTATTTCTAACTTTGCGAATACTTTGGAGGAGCTGCTATTAATTAACACTAGTTTGTCAGGGTGCTTGCCACCGGAGGTTGGTTACCTTTACAAACTAAAAGTGTTAGATGTGAGCAATAATAACTTAGTTGGTCCTATACCTTACAGCCTTGCAGGTTTAGCACATTTGGAGCAGCTAAACTTGGCGCATAACATGATGACCGGGATTATACCGATGGGAGTTTGTATCCTACCAAACCTGGCAAATTTTACTTTCTCTTATAACTTTTTCTGCGAGGAAGAGGGGATTTGCCAGAACTTGACATCTAATGGTATAGCTTTCGATGATCGCCGAAACTGTTTGCCAGAGAAGCCCAACCAGAGAAGTCAGAAAGAATGTCGAGGTGTGCTTGAACATCCAGTGGACTGCTTTCATTACCACTGCGGCGGCGTTCGTGGCAGTTCCGCCGCAGTTCCACCAGCCATGATTCCCGCAGGCACACCACTTTCGTCACCTGCTATGGCTCCTGGCTACGTGTAAATAAGCATGTAAGATAGTTAATAATTGTAAAAGCCAGAATAAGTTAGTATATAAGATATTATAAATAGTTTATTGAGATTTTAAGGTGGTAGAAGGTAGATGAAGAATTTATGCTGCTAAACTTTTGAAAAATAAAACAAAAAAAAAAATAATTTGATGTAACGCCGCTATTTTGTTTGTTTCTATTTGTTAATGGTAAATAATAGGAGTATTACATAGAGTTGTTGAAATCTCGTTACTATTTCCGTTTTAAAATAAATTGGCCTTAATATGCCCTGCATGGCAGGCCTAGGATCATGTTATTATGGCAACAAGGAGCAGCTTTGACCCTCTTTTTTAACTGTCTGATCCACCGGTATGCAATCATTCGGATATTATGCGATGTACGGAATCAAAATCTCCTGCCCCTATCCCCAGGCGAACAAACGTGTTTCTTCTTTCTCCGTTAAATAAACTTCGTTTTTTTTGAGTCTAATGCTGCCTTATTCTTTCTATTTTTGTGAGTCGAATCACTTTTCCCCTTCTCTTCCCCATCTTCACTTTCTTTTCCTTATCATTTCTAGCCGGATTCATTGCCCATTTTTATCGGGGAACTATCGATATTTCTTGCTATATGCTGGAGGGGAAGAAGTATGAAAAAATCATTCTTGACACTTCTTTTTGTCTGGTTTGATTTTTTTATAATTATTTTAGATTTTTATTGTATAGTTATACTTGTTTAAAATAGGATGAAAATAAGTTAAAAATAATAAAAATAAAAATTTTATAATTATTCAAAAAAATAAAATTTTTAAGTAAGTACACAAGATGGAGACTTTTTTTAGATATCTCAGAGGAAAAATAATTATGGGATCTTGCCATCAGTGTTAGGGTAATCTCATAAATTGTTTTTACAAAAAAAAAGAGTTTATTTTAAATAATTATCAACAACATAAAAACAATAAATCATAGAAATAGAACAAAATAAAACCGGTTTAAAATATGGAGAAAATAATCTTAATTAATAGAAAATTCATAATCGTTTGAAGATAAATCCTTTTAAATGGAATTTTTAAGGAATGTCACAAGTAGTGACTTCTTTAAATTTATTTTCAGAGTAAAAATGATTATGAGACATTTTCATAAAAGTTGGGGTAATCTCATAAATTTTTTTTATAAAAATATTTATTTTCAAATAATTATTACAAACATAAAATAATAATAAAATAATAAAATATTTTAAATTAAGAATTGTTATGATTATTTTTGTGAATATCCATTTATGTTAGGTATATCTAGATTTGGATGTAGATTAGATGGGATTAAGATTAAAATTTAATCTTTTAATCTAAATCCTTAATGTTATTTTTATTTTGTAAATGTTTTGTAGATAAGGGGTTATTAACTTATAAATAAGCCCTTCAAGATTTTTTTCCTTCTTAATACTTTCTCTTATAATTGTTCTTTCTACTTATATTTTATAACACGTTATCAATACTCTAATCTAAGTTTAGATATTATTTTGTTTTTATTATCTTTTTGGTAATATTTTTTTTATCCTCCTCAAGCTTTAAAAAGAATTTTATTGTTATTATTTTGTTTTCATTATCTTCATGTTTCAAAAAGGCATTTTAATGATTGGGTTTTGATTTCTAGTTTTAGTAAATCAGATAAAGTGTTGGTATTATTTTGTTTACTTTACCCACTAGAAATGAATAAATAATTTTACTCAAAGTATATGAATAACTTTATCTATTAAAAATAGACAGATAATTTTATCTATTAGAAAGTGGACGCATACCTTAATAACTTGTCTACCTCAAAAGAAAAATTGATTATTTGATTGTCATTTGATTAGTAATGGAAATATCCAAAATGAAATTTCTTAATAACTTGTTGATAAATTTTAGTATAACTCTATTATGAAGATACTTTTATATGTTCTCGCTATATTTAAATAATAAGATAAAATACTTTCATACTTTTGAGTTTTAATCGAAATTTCAAATGGATTTAATAGTTTTTGAAAGTTTTTGAAATGGACATTCTACTAAAAAATGTAAACACCATTAATAGATATTATGAAATGATTAAAATTTTTTTTTATTAATTTAAAAAATTATTATTATATATTTTTTAAAAAAATTAAAAAAATATCTATTAATGCTCCTCAGCCTCCCAAGAAAGATAAAATAAGATAAAGCAAATTAATGAAAATAATAAAATAATAACATAGGAAAAGAGTTTGAGGGAAGTAAATTTGAGTATCAAAATAAAGTTTAGTTATCAAGACTAAAAAGATAACACATAATTAATTAGATACCGTATTAAGTGAGCATTGTAAAAATGCTAATACATTCCTCACAGGTAACTACACTTCTTAACCTAATTTGTTTTGTAAACCGAAACCATTTTTTTTCTTTTGAAATAGAAATCTACCTTTTTTTTTTAATGAACATAAATTAAGTTTAGGACTTATTAAAAAAAGATAAATTCACCTAAATGATCAATCAAACTTAAACAAAAAAAATTATTTACTATTGTTATTTTACATCAAATGAACGGTTAAGTTTACGGACTCACATGTTTTATGACAATTAGTTTATTAGATATAAGACCTTGGTTTTTTTTTATCTTGTCATTTGTTATTGTTCTTTACTTTTGCTTTGGAAAATAGTTGAAAAAAAAATTCATAGCATATGCAGCTTTAATAAATATTCTAGGCAAAGTTAACCCTTCAATGTCTGGTTTCAGGCTATGGTTCTCAAGGTTGATGTTAGTGGTGCCAACTTTGGTTAAAATTTACACAATAGCCAATTACTAGACTCGGCTTTGGAACTTGATCATGCAATGATCTTATCACGGTTAGTTGCTTTCCAGAACCTAGAGAAGACAACCTTGGAGGTTGAGAAAGTGGATCCTCCTAATTGAGAGACTCAAGGAAAGGCCTATAGGATGGAATATTCAACATTTGGAGAGAGGCAAATCAGAGAGCTGATAGTTTAGCAAAGGAAGGGTTGCAGTTGCAGGCTCCAATGATGCAGGTTTTCCAGTAGTGTGTTATTGGTTGTGTTGTGTATCCTCTTGCCAAATACGATTTTAGTGGTTGTGCTTCTGGTAAATATGTTCTAGAAGCCAGGTTCGGCTTGCTGGTTAGTGTGAAATCTACTTCCAAGAGGAGAGTTCCTCTTCTCCATGGTTGCTCACAGGAGCTATTTACAACATCCCAAATAACACAACAGAACATTCATCTTTACCAGACTAATTCCTCCTCCAATGAACTCTTCTTTTTTTGTTACCAGTTTCTTCTTTGAAATGTAGTGAAAGTATGAATCAACACATCCCTTTGCCTCTTCAGCTTTCACCAAAAACTGCTCTTCAAATTTTATTCAACATGGATTTTCCTTTCCCCAATTTCTTCATCCCTTTCTTCTACTTACAGTTCTCTCTCTCTATGTCCCTAATATGCGGGAAAGTGGGTTTTATTTGGAAAAATCTCATAGGATTAGTCGATCTCTGATGACTTGTGAGTTCTCTCTCTTCTTCTACCCCACATCTCTCTCCAAATTTAGGTTTTGGCTCTAGATTTAAGAGTGTTATGATTATTTCAGATTCTTTCATTTGGTAGGAGAGATTGGATGGGTAAAGAACCTTAACTAAGTGGGGTTTATTAAGAATTAACATAGTTTTAAACAACTCCCGAGACACATGTCACTTTGTAAAAGCTGAAACATGGAAGGAAACAAGTAGAGCAGAAGATATTTGTTCATTAGTTACCTAGTTCTCAGTAAAGCCTTGCCTTAATTCATCATTTCGCTTGCTCGAGCCTGCTCATTAGTCTAAACATGGTTTGTCCCATACCATGGCATTCAATAACATTTGAGTCTGCGCCCAGACTTTGACTGAAACCCAATCTCTCGTACCACGATTCAAGCAGAACAAACACTACTAAAAATGACACTGACAAATCGACACTCTGTTGTTTCTGTAATGCGCTTGCTATTTTATCTTTGAAAGGAGTTTAAAAGCACAAAAAACATGGGAGCCAAGGATGTGATTGTAAACAATTTGCACTTTGTTTTTGTTCGGTGAGGCAATTTGTACTTGGTATGAAATATCTAAGAGTATCAAATTTATACAATTATACAATGAATACAAGAATGTTGCCTACAAATTGTTGCAGTGTCAGTAGTAACAAGTTTTAAATTGCTTGTGCCGTATCTCAGTCATCTCCTAAACATGGACCCAGGCAAAAAGTGGGTTCTGAAATCTTTCTCCCACCTGAAACAAAGTATTACAAGTGACTCTGGTTAAAACATTGAGGGGATAAAACAAAGTAGCACTTCATTTTCAGAGATAGGCAAACTAGGAGCAACTTATCAAGAAATCTTGGAAAGCAAGGCAGGTTAAATACACAATTTACAAGTTGATGATGTTTGCAAGATTACAAATGAAAAATCAAAATATAAATCCCTCCTCTCTGGTCATTGTCAAGTGTTCACAATTTGTTAAAACGGTTAATTTCTGGAGGGGGGGGCAGAGTCAAACATCAAGATTGGCATTGAGTCATTACCAAAATGAATAAGTTGGGCTCATCAATGGATCCTATGTTATATAGACAGTGGAAAATTTTCTTTAAGCTGGTGGTAGCGAACGCCGGCAAGTCGGGCATTCCATCTTTATGTCCATCCACCTTTGCAAACAACCCGAATGAAAAAAATGATCGCATGGTGTTACCTGTTAGAGAAACGCATACTCAAATAAAGTTCACAGTTAGAGAAAGTGACCTTAAAGAGCCATAAAATAAAGAGAAAAATCACAACAGTATACCATGCAATCACTTGAACGCTGTGTGAGATCAATGGCAGTCATACAAATGACACAGTCTGTAGCATGATTTGTATCTGGATCAAATCTTCTATAGTAGCTATATTTCTCAGGTAGGATCTGCAAACAGCAATATCAAAGTGAAATCTCCATAAAAGGGTTTTGGAATCTTCAAATAAATCCTGACAGATATTGGAAACAATTTCATTTAAAATGCCCGGCAGAACAAGCACATTTCACTAAGAAACAAGCCTGCTTTAAAACAAATGAAATAGGATTCACTGAATTAGAAAGGGGTGGGAAGGAACAATCTGGCAGTCATAAATGAAGATTTCCCCAGTTTCCCGGTTAAGAATTAAGAAAAAGACTCCCTATGGGATGAACTGGGGGGAGGGAGGGGGACAAATAAATGTTTTTGTTAATCACGACTTTGGTAATAGCAGTTCCAACAAAGTGCAACAACCCTGACTTATGAAATTTCTAAAAGCTGCTTTCAGTCAATCAGCTATTAGAGGCACTTGTACATGGAATTGAATACATGTACATGTGCCTGACCAAAAAAGGTGTGGAAAAATGAAAACAAAAAAGGTTATACATGAAGAAAATAACAAAATTGTATCTGACCTGACGAGGAATAAACCATCGAGATCCAAGATAGTGCTGAAGAAGAAGAAGAGATGCTTGCAGTCCAATGAATACACCCAAACAGATACACCAGCCCTTGTCAGGCTCGATTCTCATAAAGTTGTGAGGGCATCCAAATATGTATAACGGGATTGCTAGTCGAGTAATAGTCATCCCTAAGATGTAATGAGGATGCAAAGGTTTTCTTGAATCACGAATAACATTGGTGATGATTTGGGGTATCCAGAAGGAGTACAAAAGAAGAAGTATTGGCCGCAAAAAGTTATGAAACTCGTACATGACCAAAATGCCTCCTAATAGGATCCCATCTGCAAATATTTGTACTAGTTAGATGAGATTAACCCAACAACTTGACATATGTTTCACAATCGAAGCAAGTAATTGATTGCAAAAGCAATCAATTTGGATATAGTAATCATTGGAAAATTAACGAGCACATTCAGCGGCTGACATCAAATAGTACTTAGAACAAATAGAGGGAAGCAACAGTTGCACTCATTGATCACTTCTCACACCCTGTTCCAACATGTATCACTTTCAAATGATATAATTACCTTTTACTATGTGACACCAACCATCCCATTTAGCCTTCCTAGCATTATTTCCCTATGTCATCAAGTACTGCTATGCCTCTCACATCCCTTTTTAGCTTCTCTGAAAAACTTACAGCTTTCACATAGTGAGTCATATGTGTTCTTTTTTTATTCTTGCCTTCAGATAGCCTAACTCATGGGTTTTTTTTTTTTTTCTTTCTCTGTACTTTTCACCTTTTAATGTGGGATGACATTGTTGCTCCTATAACAGTGAAGAGGATCTAATATGTTTACACTGCAATTAGGTTTTTGAAGAATCCATCTTTTGGCTTTTGCTATCAGTGAGCTTCCTATCAATTTACACTGGTTTGCATTTTAATGATGTCCTCCTGCAGGTTTGCAGCTCCTGTAGAATCTGTTATCACTCATCACAGGTATCTATGGAAAGAATTAAGAGACCTTGTGCTATTAGTTTAGATACTAATGCAAGGATTTATATCAAGATATTTGATTACAAGAAATAAATTACATTTGCTCGCTTCGAAAGTCTTTTAATTAGAGATGCTAAGGAGGGAAAGATGGAGGCATAATATTTTTCCAGGTACACCCATTTGATAAAATATGGTGTCTGGGTAGTAGTATTTATAGAAGCAACAAATGACTAGTTACTCCATCAGATATTAGACTAGGGGTAACAAGGCCAAGTAGCAAGAGTACCTACACAACATTCATATAATTAGGCATTGCTAATTAGAATCTGATCTTACCAGCAGTCTTTAGAGGCCAAACTAATGAATGTGTATGGTGGGTAAGTTTATGCAAGAGAAAGAGACAAGAATTATTTGTCTTGACATCACTTTCAGCAAATCATATATATGAAATTTCTACCCAAAAATGTAAAACCTTTTTCTGGCACTTACAGAATCGGCTGTACAGAACTGATAGCTCACGCCTCATTGTCTCCCAACCTTCACTATTGTTCATAGGTCTACTTGCCTTCCATATTGCGAGAAGGTACCTCATCTCAAAAATGGAGAAGACTACAAACTTGAAGAATGCCGCCGTAGCAAAAGCATTAAATAAGGATTCTGTATACAAACAAGCAAAATGAACTTAGTAGAGATGAACCATAAAAAGGTATATGGTAAAAGGAGAGATCCACTCTTGTGCATTAAATCTGGTTGCAGAGCACATTCAATGAACACCTTCAAATGAGACCATTCTCACTTGATACTGTGCAAGACTTGCTCACAAGTACAGAGGATAATCTTTAAAACTCCTGCCAATCATTTTTCAAACTGAGAACTTTACTGCTCGTTGTCTCCACCGAGGCCAATGTAAAGAAAATCCATCAAGTTCAAGTTTTGAATCCCCATTATTGTTGCAAATAGAATACACCCACTTCAGGGAGTAGAAATGATTGAAAGAGAAAAGGCGAGAAAGACCTAAGTCCTTTACATATTTATAGTACCGCAAAGATATGGCAAATTAGTGAAATAAAATAGCAATTCTTTGGGGGTGTTAATCACTAAACTTACCAACCAGTATTCCTGCAGTGAGATGTAAGAGGCAAAGATAAGCATCCATGATAGCCTGTTGGCCAATCATCAAAATTGAAACTTTTGCAGCTCCCTGATAGATAAGAGTCAAAAATACTTTTATTAAAGCACAAAGAATTCAATTGCTGATTAATGCTATATCAAAGATAACATGCATGAAAAATAAACTTGTCCGTTACAACATATCCTTTAAAAATTCTTACTGATTGAGTGTTGCTGTGTTCCATTTGTCGAATTAACAAAAGGACTTGAATGAAAGAGACCTGACAATATACAATTAAGGAATCCATCCAAACAGGCTAGAGACATTGCATTAAAACTGGAAGGGTAAAATGCATAAAGGATACAAAGGTGACCATTAAGGTGTAGTTGACTGCTTTGTTGTAATAGACTTCAATGTTGACAGAAGTGGCATTTAACAATAAAGGTGAGAAACAATCTCCATCATCATCCACTGCAGGACTCTCCATCAGTCCTTCAATGTGATAACGATCACGATCTCCATCTATAAAAAGTATAAACAACTTCTGAATTCCAATAGTTATATTGTCATAGTACAATCTGTTCCTGGCAGAAATTTCTGCTCAAAATAAAAATTTTGCAGCTGTGAGAGATGACCATAGTTAACTCGCTAAGCTGACTTGTCTTTCAACTGCAAATACTATCTGATAAGTAGTGTATAGATGACACCATATTCCATGGACATTTTGACATGTACGTTCAAAAGGAAGACAATGCTGTAGTGACTAGATCAATAAAAGACCATTTTCCCCAAACAGATGGTGATTTCTTAAATCTTAACTAGACTTTATACCCACACCCCATCCAGGCAGGCATGAGAGCCCAATTGTTTGAAATGCCAATTTAGAGACTTAAGTCAAAGATTCATAAGTCAATATTTCTTCTCCAATTGTGGTAAAAACAGAACTTCTCAAATACATGTTTTCAAAAAACAGATATGAGAAGAATGTAACAGAGCAAGAAGGGGACAAGGGGTGATGAGTGAATTAAGAAGCTCAGTAACTCAAGTACCATTTTGGGTGGATGAGATGCGCGAAATCTGGGCTGCAATTTCTATATTGCAATGTTTCTCCATCTCATAAACTGGTGCTGCAATAAGAGAACATAGCATTCATATCACGCAAACTTAACTTGAACTTAAGCCAAGGGAAAGAGTTGAAACTTACAATTTTTTCTTCTCCATATTTTGTCTCGTGGAGATTCTTGGAACACTTGTGATGAGAAAACTCCAAGCTGTTCAAAGGTATCGCAAGTTAGTAACCACACCCACCATAAATAAAGGTTTATAAAAGAAACCTAAAAAACTGTGTGCGCACAACACATCCCTAAGTCAAACATTGATTAAAAGAGCAATGGTCTGGAATGGTCATCCAGAGCCTGCTGCAGCATTCAAAGCTACATAGAAGAGCCCACAACTCACAAATACAGATTCAAATATCTACCAACACCAAACCAAACTCAAGGAGAAGTAAGAGTTGAAAGGAAATTATTTTCCTTTAAGTATCAACACTCAGTTTAAGTGTAAAAAAGCCAGCTCCCAGATCAAACACATAGGCTTAACAGACCCAACCTGAGAATGAAATTATATAACTAAGCTAAGTATTTGACTCTGTTATCCTGTCGACCAAGCATTCTTGATAATAACGTTACTTTAAGGTTGCGTTTGGGAACTTGAATCTGAAAGAAGGGATATGGGTTTCAAATTTAGAATAAATTGTGTAATAAAGCACATGTAAATATGACTTTCATAATTATCTTCAAATTCATGGATTTGCTGCCATCCCTATTTAGTGGTGAATTTAAGATACCTATATGAATTTGTGAATCTTAAATTCATCTTCTTACACCCTTCCAAGAACATAGGTGTGTTGAATCTTAACTAATTTCTACATAGCGTGTGCATTTCATCCTCACAATTTATTTAACAAAACAAATCCAAATCCACTCTTCCCAATTCATATTTCCAAACATAGCATAAGGCAACATTTTTTCTAGACAGAAGCAAGAAACTAGCAGAACGATATGTGGCATTCTAAATGGGAAGCCATTCTCAAAGTCTAACATGTAGTACAATCAAAATTAAAAGCTTGTAAGCCACAAATGAGTAAGATACGAAGTGTTACCAAATGATATGGATTGGACAAAATATAATCTTCTTCCTGGCTCAATTCTCCCTCCTTTCCACTGCAATGGTGCACCAAAGTAGAATATGTTAAGAGTTGGAATGCAATATGCAAACCAGATTCAAAAAATATGCCATCATAAATAAAGCACAGAATGGAAGTTAGAAAGCTAATAACTATATGGCAATCACCCTTTGTCCTGGTGGTAACTGGTTGCATTTGAGTCCACACTGCCCCCACCCCCCCTTCCCACCCTCCCACAAGTTCTCCTGAGTCAAATATAATGATTAAATATTACATAATCACGGTTTGAAATACTTTTATCTGCACCCTTTGTTGCAGCCAGTCAACTAGTATGCATTTCTTGGTCAATCAATATCCAACCAAGCTGAAAGAACTTTTAATGAGCAACCAATATACTCCACATTTACCTGTTAGCTACCATTCGAAGCTGTCTGAAAGGCCATATATATACACCCTCTACTCTTATTTGAGCACCACCAACATTGTGTTCATTATCAAACACATCATGGAAAATAATTACACCCTGTCATCACCACCACAAATGAGAAATAAAAGCCAGACAAGAATTCACAATGATAACATGCAGTCTAGAGCAATTAGAAGCTATGTTCTTTATTAAGAGAAGAATTCAATCTAAAGAAAAATGGAGTAAATATGATTAGGCAAACAAATATAGAGGATGGAAGAAACTTATACTCCAGAAAAAAGTCAGTCTATCATGAGAAGTTTCTCATAGAATTTCTCATCACTACCAACCAAATCACATCCTCAGGCCAACTATACGTTTGCCACATACAAAACATAGCTCTCTTTTTTTTTTTTTTTGGTATAACTAGAAACATAGTTCAACTGCTCTAACAAGTTCATAAAACACTTTAGCAGAAACTTGGGAAAGGTATATTAATTAATCATGAAGAGAGAATTCCCTACATATGATCCAGAACTCCCTTACCTGAATATAATGTACACCAGTTATTTTTGTTGGTGTGCTAACTAATTCAATAACTGAATCTCCAGCCAATTTCCGGAAATCAGGAAATTTGGAAGAGCTATTTGTAGACTCCAAAAATTTCCAAGTCCCTGCAATTTACAAGGATACAACAGTCAGATCAACAAACAATTGTCGACACAAATAAACATCCTTAATGAGCTGAAATACTGAATTTGATCTATTCAATTGACAATAGTGGTAAATTCACAATCTCAGAGATGTATTTAGAAGCCAGCCAATTCAACAGATTTCCTAATAAGGTTTTATTTTACATCAGAACCTGTTCTTAGGTTAAAGAACTTCTGATCCATGTGCCTTCCCAAATACCATCTATCTTTGCTTCTAAATACATTTTACAAGAAACAAGCATCTGTAACTTAGAAGAGGCCTAGACAATTTTTGGTAAATTCAATTCCTATTCTATTACTTCTGTAGTTCATGAGTTGTGAGCTTTGAGCCTGTCAACAGATAGTTTACCAATATTTTCCAGGAAATTCATCATCTAATCATGAATTACCAAAGTGACAAATAGTAGCTGCAAGGAAATAAAAAGAAGATAATGGGAGAACAAGATAAAGATACTACAATAGAGATGATATAAAAATCAACCACACAACTGCCTGCTTCTTAGAGATATGTAACAAGAACCTGTAAAATAATGCACTTAGTAGTAGCAACTTCCTTAGTGCAATAACTCTAGTATGCAGACAATTGAATTTGAGAACATTCACTTACCTCGGTAAGTTCCAGTTATATTCCATGCATGAAAAGGACCCAGTTCACTTTCATCTTTTCTAACAAATAGCCACTGCAAGAAACATTAAAAATACAAAGAAATTTATAGCATCCAAAAACTGCAACATGAATTCTTCCAAAATCTTAGCACCCAAATGAAGAGCACAAGGGGTAAGAAACACATGGAAAATGCAAATAACAGCACAAGACCCTATCCACCTTTTCTTAATAGTTTGCTCCAAACAATCAACAAATGAAATCTTTGTCAACCAATTAGGTGATTTAGCTAAAGTGAACTAATCTTAAATAAGCATTGGGCTTTAGATAAAGGTGATGTCATTTTTCAAAACATAAAACAATCATTCATCCCAGTGAAAAGTTCTTTATTTGTCTATTTTTATTTTATTTATGTTGAATTTCTCAGCATGAAATGAAGTATTAATTAATTCACTGAAGTGAAGGAAACTTCGAACTATCTCTATTTAGCTCTCCATTTTTGAATGTCTACCTAGCAACATAATCTAATTTTTCTTTGTGACCGCATATGTTCCCCTTCATATGAAGCTTATCAGGACAAACTCGCTCTATTGCACCATCAAACTTAACATTGCCCGCTTTCATTTTGCAGCATTTCATTAAACATCACCAACAATTAAAC